GCCGGACACGCCCGGTCTAACACCTCTCCCGGGAACGACTCTTGAGGGTGCGCGGCTGCATGAGGTCTTCACCGCCTCGCAGACACCTTCCATGGCCCTCAATGGAAACGAAGCGACGACCGCCGCCGTGAAGCTTGCGCTCAAAGAGCACTCCTGGTTACACCTCGCCTGCCATGGCTGTCAAGAGATCGATGACCCCTTGAAGAGCGCTTTCGCGCTGTATGACGGCCGATTGTCCTTGTCGGATCTGATGGTGACCACGGCCGATAACGCCGAGCTCGCTTTCCTCTCCGCCTGCCAGACTGCCGTCGGGGACGAGAAGATCCCCGAGGAGTCGATGCACCTCGCGGCGGGCATGCTCGCCGTGGGGTATAAGGGCGTCATCGCGACGATGTGGTCGATCCAGGATGACGATGCGCCGTTGATCGTCGAGGCGTACTACAAGAAGCTGCTCGAGCTTCGCGCGAGCGGAACGCTTGGGCCAGGAGAGACGGGCGCGGCATACGCACTCCACGAGGCAGCGAAGAGATTGAGGGAGAAGGTTGGAGATAAGAGTGTCGTGCGGTGGGCGCCGTTCGTGCACTTCGGGATATGAGCAACAGCGCTTCATCTGGGGTTATAACTTATCTGCTCTTGGTCAATCATGTATAGTGTAAGAAAGCGTGCTCCAACTCTGACGGTTTCGAATGCGCGGCACTTTGGTGTAGTGAAATTTGACGACAGAAGGAGGTATGCGCGGTGCGCGAGTACATCGACAGCGAAGCAAGCAAAATAAGAAATTGATCCGTTCGGAAGAGCTTAGTGACATCAGAGGACCACCCAAATGCTTGACTAGCGCTTGGAAAGCACGCCAAGCGCCCGAGCGCCGTCAAGCATCGTCAAGCACTCGCAAGCACGCCCTCACGTGGTCTTCTCAAAATGACCTCGAGCTCGAAACCCTTTCTCCTGCTTCGGACTTACTTGAAAACCAGCGGAATAGGTTCAGGTGTGCTGCCAGTTGGCCTTCCAGCCTTTTCTGGAGGCACGTAGGGCAGGGATGAGGTTGTTATGTCGAGTCGGAGCACACGCACGGCGGTTGCCGAGTTCCGCCTCGTGGCAGCGAGCTCCAGCAGAGTCGTCGACTTTCCTCAACGATCCGGCGAATTTTGCCACAAAATTTAGTTAGCTGGAATGCTTGCAGTGATCGGTATCGCCTCCGAACAAGAAATACGAGGGGAGGGCCACGGTGAAGAATATATCATTTCAGGTCATTTCGGCGAGGCGGCGTTGTGACGTCGCGTGTGGACTGTTTGGGTGCGCTTCTGTGCGCTTGCGAGTGCTTGACGATGCTTGACGCTGCTCGGGCGCTTGGCGTGCTTTCCAAGCGCTAGTCAAGCATTTGGGTGGTCCTCTGATGGCCGACATCTCGACATGAAGCATGATGCATGATGATGATGCATGAAGGCAAGTGTGTATTTGAATCTGCGGAGAATCCTCGGTCAGGCAATGGTTAGACTAAGTCATGAAGCTATGTACTTCGATCCTGACTGTGCACGCGTATAGTAGTACACCTGGCCTTGCAACGAACTTTACGCATGCCCCATATGATGAATGATGCCCCTCTAAACCCGTGCGATGTCTGCGAGACTCGAACTCAGTACTGGTCCAGGCTCCTTCGAGAAGGGAGAGCGCTAACCTGAACGATGGTCGAAGTTGAATATAGCCGCCCTGGGTATCGCCGTGATAGTCACCGGCACCTCGATCGAAACCGTGATGGATCTATAAGCTGGTGATCAGAAACTTGTAACTTGTAGCTTGAGACTCATGAGACGCACTCTAGGATACTGGCCTCGAAACGCATAGCAGGCAGCGCGACAGAACGACGGCGCTCTGGTTTCCTTCTTCTGCAACAACGCACTATTGCCCAGAAGAAGCGCGCATACATCGTGCGCGCCTGCGGCGTGCAGCCAAAGAGTGCGAAGACGGCGTATCCAACCAGGATGGACGAAACCACAGATGAATAATCTATGAGGAAACCAATGCGATCGTCAAGATCGAACTTGACAAGGACAGGCGCCCAATTTTCGTGAACGCGTGTCCAACCGGGGTCGAAGGTGAAGGCGTCGCCCAGATCGATCGCGCTCCAGATCTTAAAGCCGTAGTTTGCCGCGGCTATGGGAAGAGAGAGGAAAAGATCGAAACAGACGAGCATGAGGAGACGAATGCCTTCATCATTTGAGCGTACGCTAGACGTCTCAAGGGATCCTGCTTCGAGGACGTTGATACGAAGTCGCCGCAGATGCATGAGAAACACGACTATGCGAGCTGAGTCACGCATTGTATCAGTATGGGGCGACGGCATCGCATGTGATGAGACCTACGGCAGTAGACCACTACAGAGAACAGTGGGAAGACAACGGTCCAAGAGTATATGAACATCCATGTGTAGCCCGTATTGGATACGACATCGAGGCAGCCGAACCCTTTGGCGATCGCGAATCTATTAGGTTGCACGATATAATCTGATCAATGCGGGAACTACAAGTAAGTCCATTTTACCCTCGCGACATTATGGAGTACGCACACAAGACGCCGGTAACAAAAGCGGGCAAGCCCAAACCGAAGGCAAGCTCGAAGATGACATTATGGCGCTGCTGTGACACCGTAAGGATATGTATCAGGCGAGGGCATCGACTGGCTTGTACCAGAGATGGGCCGTCAATCGATGTCATAGAGACGATCTGATACAGTTGACGAGTGATCAGTAGCGTGCAGGCCGGCTTCGCGACAAACGTGAACATCTGGGTATGCGATACTGATCTCATGGTCAGCAAACAAGCGAAAGAAAGACAGGATGATGTATGCGACGAACCTATGTCGCAGTAAATGAACGGAAAGGTGAGATGGTTGTCGTTCGCCCAGACGATCATGTTGACTCCTTTGGTCAGTGTGTCCAAGAATAAACAGGCGGAGAGTATATTGACGGCCAGATTGAACGCTTGCGACCTCCTGAGGAAGTTAATGACTAGTAAGACGAATAACAGAGCGGCGCATAGGAGATTGGTGATCGGAAGCAGAGGATAGCTGGAGTCGACAGCCATTGTTGCGTTGCGCGGCTTCTGTTCGAAGTAGTTCAGCAATTTAGGTCCAGATGTCGACTATATAAGTGCACCACTCATGCTCATAGTAACATCTCATCCGTCGGCAACCGATGGCCCACGAAGACGGCAAGTCGCCGACCCGCGGGCTGACTGGACGCCCAAACTGAGATTGTCAGGAGCTCGAACAACGCATCCGGCATCAAAATCCCGGTATTGCTGCACCCGGCGACCAAAAGTGAGACAAAACTGTGCCAACGGTTGAACACGTCCGTAGCAGCTCAGCCAGTGTCCCTCACCAGTCCTGACGAGGTTTTGACGGCCGGCGCTCAGGTCGGTGGATCGCAACCCAAACAAGATATGGACACGCAGGATATGTACTTTTCGCAAGAAGCTCCGTCATGTATCTTGGGAGATGCTGACAGGGCGTAGCGAAGACATGATGCGGCTTTATGAATAGGTGTGGCGCGCGGCGATTTCGACATACCAAGTCCACTTTGACAAGTTCCTATCCTTGATGGGTCACATACATAGTATTGAACGAGGACTGGACTAGTATGAGCGATATGGCCACAATGATGGACTGCACGACGCACCAGGGCCTTCGTCGTGAGCCACGCTACTTTTGATCCTTCGAACTGTGAGCCAAAGACCGATACTTCATCCTTGTAAAGGTAGCAATTCCCAAAATCGGTGACGACGACCGTGACGATCGATACCCGGATGCCCCATTGTTGGCGGCGCTCGTAATTGAGGTGACCCCGAGCAGGGTGCAAGCGCGCCTTGTGATTGGGCTTGAAGATGCGTCGACACACGTAGGCCACGTCTCATCGCAACAAAGACGAATAGGATAGGTCTTCAAAACGAGGATGTATTGATGGACCCTCTACGACGTACGTTAGATGGCGGCGAGAGGCAAGTAATGACTACCGTCGACGCGTGTCCGGAACCCGGGCCGCAGTTCCAACTCGACCTATAACTCGCCGCTGTGAACGTAGCTATATCGAGTAGTGCACAGACAGCGCTTAATCACATTGCTTCGAAGAGTATATTCGCGCCACTTGTCTTGCAGAGAGATGTATATTGTCATCGTTCAACGCCATCCAAAACACTACATTTGAACGCAGGATATGACATAACATAGCGCGCGATACGTAGTCATACACAAAACAATATAGCTTCACAATCTTGGTCCAGACTTATGCGAGTCTGCGGAGTTCGTGAGTACCACTGAACTAGAGGTGCGCCGAATTAGTACATACGCTTCACAAAAGGAATGCAAGACTGATCTCATCGACCGAACGACGGCCGGGAGTACTAATCCCGCCGTATCCTTCTGACGCGTCCAAGATGACGACGCGCCTCGGCGAGGTGATTGGGATATTAGGATCTCCTTCCGCGTATCGCTCGAAGCGGTCCCAGTCTGTCCGTCCCTTCGAAGCATCCGATGGCGTTTGAGAGGGCGCTCCGGTACCGGTCATGCCCGTGTCGTTGGTGATCGGCTCTTGGCGGCGCATGTAGGGCGCACTCTCAATGCCGAGATCCACCGCGTATCGAAGTTTATCGGTGCCCGAGCGAGTGTCAACCCCTTCGTCGACCAGTTGACGCCACTCAATCTCGACGCCAGACGAGCTGTAAAGTCCGTCAATGGTTAGGAGATAGCCCAGAGTGAAGTTGCAACGCACGTAGCGGGCGCAGCGAGAGCTGTCCTACTGGCGAGCCCGAAGGCCACAAAGAGAATAGCAAGCTTGCGGAAAGCAGTGAACATGACGATGAATCGAGGTGGATAGAGGAAGACGGATAGCGGCGAGTTGGAGAAGGAGAAAAGGCTGGGAGAGCGCAGGTACTATCGCTGAGGTTGTATTACCGGGGATCGTCTGAGGCTTATATACTTCGCGCAACGCGGGGTGCTTTGGCAGACGACCAGTATGACCGCGCGCAGTGTAAGTGCGGACCAACCATCCCTCGGAGGGTAGACAATGGCGCTCCTGTGCTGCTCAGCGTTGCTATGAGCTCGAGTAACGCAACATTGTCTCTCCGTGACTTCCAAATGCACTCAAGAATGCAGGAGGTAGTCAGACGACGTGGGACGGAAACACCGGCGGACGCGTGCGCGGTGTTGTGATAGCATATTCTTGCTGGACCGTAGTGCAGCACTATACATATTACAAATGGAGGGACGCTTGAACAAGGATAGCAGATACGTGGGATGAGATGCGACTCTCTCCGCCGACGGTGGTGGTAGGAAGCAAGTTGTGCGCTGTTGTATGCGCCACAAGCACGCGTCCTCGGAATTCGGGTCTCGCGCGCTGACGCCCGATGATGCCAAGTTCTTCTCTTGCTCTCCCTATGGCGGTCAGAACGTTCGGAAAATCGGAGCGCGCGCGCGCGCACCTCCGCGCTTCCCGCGCTACGTACCTCTGCGTCCACGCGCCTCTGTCCTCCCTCGCCAGTCTGCACACCGCTCCCTTCACGCCATCTAGCTCTGAATCTGCATAGGAAATGTGTTCTGCGCTGTTGGCGCTGTGCAGGATCGGCCAGAAGATGACGACGTCG